GAAGTCTCTCCGTCCCAATAGGAGGAGAACACCCAGTGCCCTGGACCAGCTTTGACTCTGCCTGGATCAACACTAGGTAACCTCCGGACAAACACTGGATGAAGGAGATCATGCAGGTCTCTGGTTAGAGGCCCTTCTTTCCTTCTTGCTTTGGGCTACCACGTATGAAAGGGTGGCAGGAGGTGGCAAAGGAGGAAATACACTGTTTGTGTTAAGCCCAGAAGTGATCAGTCTTGCTCCATCCCAGATGCGACCTCAATGTAAAGAACCCAGGCAGACCTGTAACAAAGGCCCCAACCAGAGTGTCTCAGTATCGCCTCAGTAGGTCCCATTACAGGCACCACCTCCCTGGGAAGACTCTCCCATCCCCAGGGAGTCTCCCACCTCAAGACTTCTCTGGCACCTGGGCTTGCGTGAGTAGATCAACACACCGTTACAGTCCGAAAGTTCCTTGCTATCCCTGTGGCCACATTTGTGTCAGCTGCTCAGCCCTTGAACATAGTCGGTGCTTAGTAAGAGACAATTTGACTGATTTGAAAGGTGTTATGATGCCAGGGAGAGAAAGGTGCCGTGAGCTCCGGATCAAGACTGCTTGTTTTTCTCATCAGTCCCTTTCCTGGTTCTCGTTTTCACGCAAGCACAAATTATCACTTCAATCAGCATGTTTTGGCTGTAAGCCTCCTCCTCCTCCTTGGTGAAAAAAAATATACATAACATCATTCCACTTGGGGCTATCTGTGAATGTCTGTGGCAAGAGGTTGTACCCTGAAGACAGCTCCTCCAAACCCCTGGCAGAAGCCTCCTCTGTGGCTGGAACAGCCCTGCGAACAGCCCCAGGAAGGGTCCTCAGAGTCTCCAGCAGCCTCCAAGCGGCTGCTTTGTCTCATTCTTTAGGTGCCTTTTACTTTCCATTTCTCTGTGCTTCTTTCATCCACTAAAAATGTATTGGTCTCTTGTAAGGTGCTTAGTAAAATAGGGTGGATGTTTAGATTTTAAAAATATATAAATTACAGTGAAAGACATTGCCATTAACTTCCCTCATACGCCTCTCTGAATGCACCTAACCCACTATTCTCATGGCTTCTGAAGCAGTTCTAGAGTCCTCTTTCCTGAGTGTCTTTAGTTGCATTGTCACAGCCGCCTTGATGTCCCGAACAGACCCAAAACATTTACCTTGCGTGGTCATTCCATCGTTGGGGAAGAGCCAGAAGTCGCCTGGCCCCAGATCCAGTTATAAGGTGGACGAGGACGCGTTGTGATCGTTTCTGGAAGCGGATCTCCAGAACTGCTGCAGAAAGTAGGAGGAGTGTGGGATAACTGTATCCAGAGAAGAGAAGTATGGCGGGGAGAGGGGCTCAATGGCAATGTGTATTTTATTGTACCAGATTTAAACCTTCACCTTCCATTTTGATCATACAAAGTGTGGGAACAAACAGCAGTCTCGGCCTTACCTCTATGGGCTTCTTAAAGACCTGCAGAGGAAAATCAGTAGCCAACTAGCTTAAATTTGGTGCTAAAAGGAGGAAAGTAAGCACAGGTTTGAGTCACTGCACATGATGGCCCTTAGTAACACCACCTCCCTAGGCCCCCTGCTGCACGGGTCCTGCCGGGCCAGCACCAGTGAAGGCGGCTCCAACAGCACACGCAACTGCCTGGGCCTGGCACACTCATGAGCATCTATCTTCCTGGCACATCTGGCCCCAGGCCTCAGAGAGGAAATGGGGATGGGACGGAGTGTAGCTGAGAAGCGAGAGTGGCCAGGGCTTCCTCAGAGGGAGAAGGGTAGCCGAGTCCAGAATTCGGGAGTGGTGGGCAGCAGGGAGCAGGTGCTGGCCAGAGAGAGCAGGAGGCAGGGAGGTGGAAAGGGCAGGCGAAAGCCGACCAGATGTTCATGCTGCCCGTGGGGCTGGGAGTCTCCGTCTCTCGCAGTGAGCCTTTCTCTCTGCTCTGTGGAACATGAGGCTATTTCGTGAAAGAAGGCAGTTTCATTAAGTCAGCTGTGAAAACCCAAGGTTGTGAGTGCATTTTCCTGCACTGGAGGCCTCTCTTTAGCGGGAGTCTAGGAAGCGACCTCATTTCCTAGAGCACTGACTCAAGGCACGCAAGAAGTGACTGGAGTCTCTCACGTTTACTGAGCAAGTCGTGGGCACTCTGGGGACCTCGCAGATGAAGAAGGTGGAAACCCCAGGAATCAGGAGACTCAGTTTTCTTTCAGGTTCAGCAGTTCATTGCTGCATGACCCTGGCCAAGTCTCTCTTTCCCCGGTCTTTTCCTCAGTCTCCCCACCTGGGAGGGTCTTGTGTGAAGAGTCCTGCTGCTTCTGTTTGCAAGGCAGATCCCGAGAGCCAGCAGGAGGCAGAGCTGAAGTTGCTGAGTGGTGGCAGGGGATGAGGGTGGGTCAGTGAAGGGGGAATGTGGGAGTCCCACGAATCTTTACCGATCCCACCTGACTCCAGGGGAGAAGACGGCTGGCTGTGAGCCACAGGGATCGGGGAGGGCTCAACAATCAAACAACTATATTTTCTTCCCTAAGCATACAGAGTGACATTTTCCGAGAACCATAAAGAAGGCTGAGAATTACCAGTGATAGCTTTTGCCTGGCCTTCAAAACTGGCTAGAGTACCAGTTTCAGGATGTTGAGGCAGAAGGATCACAAGTTCAGGGATAGCCTGGGCTACATAGTGGGTTCAAGGCCAGCCTCGGCTTCGTAGTGTGACCCTGTCTCTACACTAAACTGAACTGAAACTGAACGAGGGGTTGGAGCAAATGGAAATGCCCAGGATCATTACACTTCTCACTTCTGACACAGCTCCATGGTGACTGGGACGCCCCAGTCTGGCCTACAGCTCGGAGTGGATGAAGAGGCACAGAGTCTAAGTGGGAAGGACAAAGATTCACTGCAGGCAAGCAGGAACCGAGCGGAAAGGGATTATAGATCGTGCGATCCTGGGTGACAGGAACCAGGATTACTGTGGAAAGAAAACTGAAGAGGTAAAGAAATCCTGAGCAGGTCACAAAGTATAAACTTGAGATGGGGACATTAATTATGGTTCTTTTTATTAGATATTCTTTTCTCCCATGGAGTGGCAGGCCAGGAATTATCTTAGTCCTTTTAATAGCAAAAAGAAAAAAAAAATCCTAAGAGTAAAGCCAGGCAGATCCAAACCTCTGTCTTGCCGACTAGACTATTTGTAAAAATCATTTCAGTGATGTTTACTGTTTGACTCAGGAACTGCAGCTGAAAACAGTACCCTTAAGCATCAGTGTAAAGAGCCAAAGATTTGTAAATCAAGTTCAGGTTTAACTTTAGAGCCACTTGAAAAAGAATGGAATCCTTAGCACAAACTGTATTATTCAGTCTTAAGCTAAATCTGCCAGGGCACAAATGAAATATGTACTACACAAATATTGAAATTTGAAAATTTGACAAAATTGTTCAAATCCAACCATTATCTTATGGTTCCTGTACAGCTACCACATACGTATAAATTTGCATGCACTTATTACAATTCTTGGTACATTTGGTTTTTTTTTAATTTCTTTTTAAGGGATTCTCTTAGTGTGTGTGTTTTCAGTATTTGTGCTGCCAAAGGAAGCACAGTGTGGGTGTGTTTTCTTGTGAGATGAGGCTTTGCTTGTTTCTCAAGCTGACTTTGAACTCCTGGGCTAAAGCAATCCTCTCGCCTCTGCCTTCTGAGAATCTAAGCATGCATCACTACAACCCAGATCTCTCTGTGTTTATTAATGTAAAGCAAGGTTCATTAACTTACAGCCCAGAAAGCCCATGAATTAGAATGGAAAATAAGTAAGATCTTTATTTTTACACACTTCTAACTAAATTTAATATTTCACTTCCTTATGAACGTAGCATAAACTCAAAATTAATGATATGTCTAATTTTGTCTCTACCATCAAAATCAGACATTTTATATCACCTTACGGTTGTTGCTGATATCATGAAATACTGTTTACACTCAAAATTTCTTTGAAAACGGGCCTTCTACTAGAGCTTGTTTTAATGTGTTAATGAAGAAACACATATATATATTCCAATGTTTTAAAAATGTTGGTGATCATAATTTAATGTCATGTGTTTCCTTTGTAATCCTGTGTATTTTATACATTTACAAATATCTTTCTGAGAAGGGTTCCATAGGTTTTACCAGTAAGGTTTATGGTGAAGTATGTACAAATGAACACACACACACAAACACACACACAGAGTAAGAACTGTTCAGGAGACCAGCATCGACAGTGTTACCTGAGATACAAGACTACAATTGGGAAGTTCTCCTAAAGTTACATCCACATTTTTTTGTTTGTTGGTTTTTTGAGACAGGGTCTCACTATGTAGTTGAGACTGACCTGGAACTCACTTTATAGCCCAGGCTGGTCTCAGACTCACAGCGATTCTCCTGCCTCAGCCTCCCGAGTGCTGGGATTACAGGAGTGCACCACCACACCTGTCTCATCCATATTTGTTCTAAAGCTAGGAGCAAAGGGAGAAGTTTTGCTGTCCACAGCTTCTGTGGGAATGCCTCAAGCCTAGGAAGGTACTGTACTTATCTTCTGGCTGGCTGTTAATTGTCTCTGTCCCTGCTACAGGGACAGGACTATGTCTTAGGCACATCTCTGTCCCTGGCTGCTTGACAACTTCCTAGCACAAAGCAGTCTGCAGAGTGAATGGCAATAGAAACTAGAAATCTTCTTGTTCAAATCAGCATACAACTATTCCTGCTGAATGAGGGTGTTGGGGGGGCACAAGTGAGTGCACAAAAAGCAGAACTACAAGGAGTATCACTGGGACAGAGGGTACATATGGTGGGTATTCTTTAAAAAAAAGAAAGAAATTCCAAGCAGACTCCTGGAAGATTATTTTCTGAGATTCTTCCCAGCAGTGTGAGAGCAGCCCCCTGTGCACAGCTCCACCCAGCCTCACGTGGCCACCTCTTTCGTCCCTGTGCGGGGCTGGCTCCCCAGTACATATAAACCTCTCTTGGGCTCAGGCACAAGCCAGCAGGCCCACCCTTCCAGACACTTCGCAGTGCAGCACAGTTTTGCAGAGGAAGCCTTCCCTAGCCTCTGTACTGAGGCTCTTCTGTGAACGCTGTTCCAGCTGCAGGCCTGAGATGCGAGCTGTCCAGCTGCTGCTGCTGGCCTGCCTGGTGTGGGGAGCAGGAGCCAGGGCAGCCCAGCTCCGCAAGGCCAATGATCGGAGTGGCCGGTGCCACTACACCTTCACTGTGGCCAATCCCAGTGAATCCAGCTGCCCCGAGCAGGGCCAGGCCATGTCAGCCATCCAGGACCTACAGAGAGACAGCAGCACCCAGCATGCAGAGCTGGAGACCACCAAAGCCCGGCTCAGCTCCCTGGAGAGCCTTCTCCACCGGCTGAACTTGGACCAAGCTGCTGGGCCCCAGGAGACACAGGAGGGGCCGCAGAGGGAGCTGGGTATCCTGAGGAGGGACCGGGACCGGCTGGAGACCCAAGCCAGGGAGCTGGAGGTAGCCTATAGCAATCTCCTTCGGGACAAATCAGCACTGGAGGAAGAGAAGAGGCGACTGCGACAGGAGAATGAGGAGCTGGCCAGGAGGCTGGAAAGCAGCAGCCAGGAAGTAGCGAGGCTGAGAAGGGGCCAGTGTCTCCAGGCCCGGGTCCCCTCTCAGGACATGCTGCCAGGCTCCAGGGAAGGTAAGAATGCAGGGGTGGGTGACACGGCGCCTGGTGACCTGTTACAGGTGCCCTGGCTTCCCTTCCTGCCTTCTCCTTTCTTCCAGAGACCTCCTGTCTAGCACAAGCTAGCTGAATCGAGGAGGGTCAAGCAAACACTTTTCCCTATTTCTAGTAATTTAGCTCCAAAGGCAGCGTAGGTGAGTGATTCTTACTTCTTGTGTCTGCCCATGGCAAAGTTCCCATAGTCCCTAGCAAAGCAGCAGAGGACCAGGTGCGATGCTGTACATGGTATCTGGTCAGTAGGAAGTAGTCAACTGCCCTTTTTGGAAAACTACCAATTTTTAAATGTTTATTTCTACCTTTTGGTACTAAAATGCCCTCTATCCATTAGAAGATGATAGATCTATGACAGGATAATAAGTGATGATTTTTTGTGTTTTTAATACCCTTCTTTGGCAAAATTCTCTCTATATGTTGTTTTTGAAGTTTTCTTTCTTCTTGTTCAATATGATAACCCTTATTTTTGTGTCCCGAGGCAATTTTCATTGGATGCTTTTCTGCTCATCCTGGCCCTTACTTGCTTGGACGTGGCTTATGAGTGTGGGTTAGGGGAAGGGTACACCTTCTCACTAGCCAGGATATAGTATTTGTGTCTCTTTTTGTGCAAGTTATGCTCTTAAATATTCACTGTTTAGTAAGTTTTCTAATTATGAGGAAACAAGCATGTCCAGTTGTGGTACAATTAGTCTAAACCCTTCAACATCATGAAAGAAAGAAAAGAAATGAAGGAGGGAGATTAGAGATTGTTTGGGTCAAAGGAGACTAAGAGATATGGTAATAAAATAAGATGTACAGTCCTTAATTCCATCCTGCACAATAAGGGGAAAACTACAAGGGACTAGGTGGGGTAGCTGGGGAAATTTGAGCACAGACTATTTATCAGATTGTGTTATTGTCTGGATGTTCCATTTCTTGAGTGAATAATAGGGGGACAGCTATGAAGGAGAACATCCTCTTTCTAAGATTTGTGCTCAAGTCCTTGAGGTGTTAGGGTATTTACAACTTGCTTTAAAATGACTCCGAAAAAAAAAAAGAAAATGACTCAGTAATGACTAACCAGAGAGAAGGAGAAAAGAGGCAAAACAAAGGTCACAAAATATTAACAATGGTGGATCTCTGAATGGTACATGGCTGTTATTTTAGTAGTCTTTCACCTTTTATACAGATTTGAAAATCACCAATATAACATGATGCAAACATTTCCTAAGAAAGCTTTCTACACAAGGGACAAGGGTATAGCTCAGTGGCAGAGTCCTTGGCTATATTAGTCAACAAGGTCCTAGGTTCAGTACCCAACTCTGAAAAAGCAAACTTTCTACACAAAAGGTAAAATCTGTGTAGGAGTAAGAGGCTATGCCTGGCTGTGCCCTGCAGCAAGTTGTTTTAACTCCTTGCACCTTCATTTCTTATTCATAACACGACAAAGAAAAGTCCTGAAATGCACAGAAATTCTTATGGGGTTCAAATGAAATACTATGAAGTGTAAAGGCTTCTTTTTCTAAAAATCCAACATGGCTAGAATTGGAAGGGATCCAATTCTGAGTTTTACAACTAGGGAAAGTGGAGCCGGGGATTTGGCTCAGTGGTTCCGCTGTCTGTCTCGCAAGTGCGAGGTCCCAACTTTGATTCCTGATACAAAAACAAAAAAAACAACTAAGGAAAGTGACCTCCTAAAAGGAGCCCCAGGTTGCACAGCTGGTCAGTTCAGTGACTTGAACTTCAGTCTGAGGATAAATGAAGAGTTATTGTTGCTGTTAATATTATAAGGCATTAATTATTTCAGACTGTTGCCTGAATGAAATCACACACACAGCAGGCAAAACAAAACAAAAACAACTCTGTTTATGTGGATATGTGGAGTGTGTGGATATGAAAATAGAGGCAATTTTTAAAAATTGTCTTGTGGTCATTTAGCGTGTCTTTGGGAATTCATTAGATGTGTTCTCTAATTTTTCTTTCTGTCCTTTCCACCTGCTCCACTTCTGAAATAGGGCAATATCCCATTATAATGAACTCCGAACTTGGGAGTCCTTTTCTAGAAGTGGATCATCTTCAAGCAGGAAATTACATCAGTAGGAGAACGTAGACATGGAAAGGGACCTGTCAAGGATCCAGTGCCACCAGCTCATTTTTTCAAATGTCAAAACCAAGGCCCAGAGAGGTTACATAAATTACCTACAGCCACCTGGCCAATTAGTGACAGACCCAGAACTAGAATTCTGCCCTCTCTCCCCAAGGACCAGTCACCTTCAGACCCCTCGTTGACCTCTACTTTATAGACCCTAAAAAAGAACAGTACAGAAATGCTTGGAACAAAAGATCTGTTTCAACGTCCTAGATTTGGAGATAAGAAACATTTGAGGGGCTGGGATTTAAGTGTGGGCATGGTGCTGAGTCCTGAAGGGTTGAGGTTTGGGGGAGTAAGGCTTAGACAAAGGAAAGGCTGAAAAGGTGGGATTTTCCTTATCCCATACATTGTTCAAATTGTCACTACCACGTTATAGAATTGTTACATTTAAAAATATCTTTAGAACTATGGAAATCACTTATTTATACATGCATACATACATGACAGGAAGAATTTCATTACACACGCACAGCACACATGCAAGCCCAAAGTAGTAGAAAAATTCAATTTAGCCTAAAGATAAATTGCAGCTGGTTATTACTATCGCAAGAAAAATCCCACATCTTCCTTTGCTCACCCTGTCCTCTAGGCGGGTCCCCCAGAGAACTGTTCCTGGGGCGAGGGCTTGTGTGAGATGGTTTATATCAGCCACAATCCTCAGGAAGAAAAACACGAGATGTGACAGAGCTATTCAGGAAGGAATAAAAAAGGGGCTCTTCTTAAACTGGTTACCACAGTGGACAACAGAAGCTCAGTGCCACCCTGCAGAGGGGTGCACAGAGTGTGACAGAGGAGGGGGGCTTTATCTTCAGGTGTGGTGAGGCTCTTCCATGTGCACAGTGCTCATCCAGGTACATGGATGTGGGTGCCGGCTGGTTCTTTCAGTCTTACTTTACAGTCAGAGCAGCTGGGGCAGGCAGCAGGCAGCATCTGTGAGAGGCAGGGTGCCCAGCACCATCTGGGAGAATGCGGGCAGGATAGGGTGGACCACAGGTGTTTAACACAGGGTCTGCAGATTTCCTCCCTTCTCCCAGAGGGTGTGGATGAGGAGCCCTTTGGGTTGTTCTACAGATCACTACAGCACAGCAGTGGAGTGGCCACTCAGCAAATGGACTACAGACAGGCAGGGTTTCTTTTGCTTGAGTTCCATTGCTTTAAAATGTCATTCCATGATCAAAGAGTCAAAAAATATATCACGTTTCCACAACACACACTGATTCTGTCGATGGTATTTGTTCGAACAGCACCTGGGACAATAGTCTATTAGCTAGTCTAAATCGTTTGTGGCAACCTGTAAACCTGGTGACACTCTTCTTCCTCTTCAGTCTCTTCGTCTAAATAACATTGAACTTTTCAAGCCATGATAGCAAACACTTACAAAAATCATTAAAGTGCCCTTTGCATGTGGATGCAGATGAATTAATAAGCTCCGTATCTAGGCCAAGCTCTCTGAATCTAGAATGGGAATCTAGCCGAGGTAAGGGCCGAGCGGGAAGAAAACTTCCAAAAGTTTTTGAACAGGCATCAAGAGACTGAATTTTAATAAAAAATAAAACCAGGTATAGTAACCTAGGCCTGTGAGTCTAGCTATTCAGGAGACTGAGACAGGAGAATGGCAAGTTTGATACAACCTTGGGCAACTTAGTGAGACCCTGTCCAAGAAGAGAAATAATTTAAGAGCTCCTAGGGGTATAACTGAGCACACCCTGGGTTTAATCCCCAACATATGGTCCAAAAAAAGTCCTAAAATCTTTAACTATCTGGTACATAGTTACTATTTCCATAATCCCTTTTTGTTTTTCCTCCACATTTAGGATGAAATGCTAGATTCAGGAATATTCCAAAGGATTTTGAGCTTTGGCATGTCTTTGTTGTCTGATAACCCTTATGCTACTCTGGATAACAGGACTCCGTGAGGTTGAACCATTTGCCCCAGGTCACACATCCTACACCCAGTGGGACCGAAGTAGGAAGCTGCTCCTCCTGGCTCAGGTCAGGCCCTTTGCACAAATGCGTCCCTGTCTTCGGTCCTCATGCCAGATTGCTTTACCCTGGGAGTCTGACTGTTGCCAGATGCTCCTGGCTGACCAGACAGAGAAGCAGCCAGTAGGCTCCTAACCCAGCCACTCCACCTGCCAGCTGGGAGCTGGCCTTGCAGTCATTCAGGAAACCTTTCCCTGACACTGTTTTACTATGGTTCTTATTTACTCCAAGGAACACGTGTGGGGTGTGGTCCCTACAAAGAGGAAGGAAAGAGGAAGGGAGAGCTGAAGGGCTTCTACACCAAGTCTTAGGGGCCATGGTGTCATCAGGACAGGAACTCAGCCCTGGCCAGGCACCTTCTCTTCTCTGGCGGTGAGGGCAGGAGAGCGGATGGGATGACTGGCCTCTGGGTGCCAAGCTGGGAACGGTGTTTATTGGGCAGCTGGCTGGAGTCTGAGCTCAGTGCTGGGAGTGGTTCACTCCCTGAACTACTTAGCAGCTACTCAGCCTCCAGAAGCCATCTAGGCCCAGCGAGGAGGAGGAGCCACACAGTAGGTTAAGCCGGGGAAGTTTTGTATAAAGATGTATCAACTCTGATGAAAGAAACTATAAGATATAAGTAAATTTCATATGGCCCTTGGGCTATAGCAGGTGCTTATGGGGTGGAGGAGACTTGGGGTGGAGGTCAGATCTCACTGGGGAGGCCAGAGAGCAGACATGGGGGCTGGTCTGCAGGTAGACAGGACCTCTCCCGGTGGCGGTGGCGCAGGAAGGGAGGCGACCCACAGCTGGGGGCTCGGGCACAGTGGAAGCAAGTAAGCAGAGGGCAGGGAGTATGGTTCCCTTGTTGAAGGGCTCTGACATGTTTGCGGCCAGGATGAGGTTGCCAGGTCACAGGAAACACATTCTGGGTCTGTGGCTAGTCAGGGCGCTACTCCATGTCCTCACATGCACACACAGATGACCAGATCAGGCCAGGAAAACCGAGACTTTCCTGCTTCCATGGTGTCCCACTGGACCTCCCTGCTGAGATAACTGCACAGTGGGCTCACTTTAGAGGAGACATATGTCTTGTTTTTCAGAGGGCTTATGTGGAAGTGATCATCTCTCAGAGGCAATAAAGGTGTCTGTAATGGACACCGCTTCCCACCACAGGATAGAAGGGTGCATACCTGCCACAGACTTGAAAAACATGGTTCAAATTCCAGCCTCACCACTTTCTAGCTATGTGTTTTTGTTTGGATCCAAAGTGTCCCCCCAAAGGCCCATGTGTTCAGAGGTGGGGCTTTTGGAAGGTGCTTAGATCACAGGGGCTGTAACTTTATCAGTAAATTAACCCATTGATGGATTCATAATTAGATGTATTATTGGGAGGTGATAGAAACTCAGAAGGTGTGGCCAAGTGAGAGAGTAGGTCATGGGGGGGTGGCCCGAGGGACTGTACCTCATCTCCAGTCTCTCCCTCTCCCTCTTTCTCCGTCCTGGCTGCCCTGAGATGAACAGCTTTGTTCCATCCTCGTGTTCCTCCTCTCTGACATTCTGCCTCACCACAGACCCGGAGACAGCAGGGCCAGCAACCATGGACTGACAGCTTTGAAACCGTGAGCCGAGATAAACCTTTCCTCCTCTAACGTCTCTCAGATACTTCGTCCCAGTGACAAAAAGCCAACACGATGTGTGACCCTGGGAATGTCACTTAACCCCCTGAACCCTGTCGTCCTTCAAACATGAGGGTAACAGGGTCCCCTTGCAGAACTGTTATGTGACACAGATGTAATGAAGAGCCAACACCAAACACAGCACTAGGCACACAGTAAACACTTAGTAAGTGGTGGCAATAGCTGAATGTCATTAGGTGGAGTTGGCAGTCCTGTAGCCTTACTCCATTTCTCTGAAACTTTGAAGGCACCATATCACATAGTTTATATAAAAGTCCTTTTAAATATGAAAGGAGCTATCCATGCCTGTGGAATCTCTTTTCATACACACACACACACACACACACACACACTCATTTTTTCAGTATTTTAGTGCTAGTATTTTAGCTATTTTCAAGGAAGTCATCTGAGTAAATACCTAGCTTTTCAATTATTTGTTTCTTTCCACTTTCCTTGTTTCTTCTGTGACTAAAAGGGGCATTTCTTAATTTTCTTTTCACCAAGTACCTCTACTTTTCTTAATGTACATATTTTTTTCTTAATAAGTCACCAAATTAAATAATCGTCCTAGCTACAATCATAGAATAATATAGTTTGTTCAGATGCACAGAGGAAGAAGTTGTGAGGTATGGGAAGGGTGGCTCTCAGTGTCCCCCGTGTGGCCACTGAGGCCCATAGCTGAAGGGAGAGAGCTGGGGAGGGTGGGTTTCAGGCTTTTTGACAGCACCACCACAGTACTCTCACTGCACATGGCCTGAACTCAGCTTCGGGATTCTGAGAGGTAGGGGCAACAATGAAAGAAAGAACTCTGAGTTGTCCTTCAGGTTGTCTGCAATGCCTAGAAAAGGCACAAATAGAAGGAAAGTGACCAAGCTCAGGAAACTGGTTAAATGACCTGATTTTGAGGAATGGCCATGGTGAGAGTTTGCCACACTGTGTGAGGCTCTGTTGGATGCAGGAGACGGGCAGCAAAGGCAGCTCCTACTGGCCAGGAGTTAGGGTCATCACTGTGTCTTATGCCTTTGGAGAAGGACTAGCACTGGGAGAGGCAAAGTTACAGAGCATGGCTACAAGTAGGTCTGCCAGCCTTGGTACAGGAAGGGGATATTCACTCTGACTGCCCCCAGCAGCACAGAAGGACAGAGCATTTCTGCCACCCTCATCCTCTCCCATGCTGCCCAGTGGGAAGCACCAAGTCCCTGGCAAAGCTGTGTGTGTCCACCCGGGTCTCAGGTTGGCCTAGAGCACCTCTGTTTGAGTAGTGCCTCTCTGCCCTGTGTGCCTTCAAGGCTAAGGCCATCTCCTTCAGAATGAAGATCAGGGAATTTCCTCAAATCATAGATCCGCAGATAGGGAGAATGAATCAGGAAATCTGTGAACTTTCCAGGACTCTCAGAAGTCCAAAAGACCTGATTCTCAACATATTACTCCTCAGCCAAGAGGACTTGAATTGAGAGGTCCTCGTGGGGTTGGATGGATGGATGAGGAGCTCTATGGATGCTAAGCTGGAGAGGTCAAGACTCGCTGTGTCCTTGGTTCTCCTGTAGGTCTGGACATATACCGAGGACATTACTTGGCTATCCATCTTGGCTCCTGATTCTTACATGGATCTGCTAGATGGAGCGATACCCCCAGGGAGAGAGGATCTCCTCTAGAGGCTATGTGAAAGCTGCATAAAGATAAGGGTAGAGAGGAGAGGGCTGTGGCTGGGATCAGACAGTGCAGTCGATGAGACAGCCCCAACTGGGCTGCAGGGCTGTTTGGCCATCACCAAATGCCACCTAGCCCCGCAGCCCAGTTCCAGCCTGAAAGCTGCTTAGCTGAATACTTTCTTCAGCTCCTTCCAAGAAGAATGTTTTCCTCATGCTTTGATTCATTGAAGGGAAACACCAGCAACTCCAAGAGGGTATTCCAGAGATGGGAAAATTCGGAGGAACCTGTGGCTTAAGATTCATGACTTGTGGTAAGGGCAAAGAGTTCCACTGTAACCCTCTGGGCATGAAATGCAAATTTCAGAGAGTTCAGCAAACACAAGGAAAGGCTGAAGATGTCTTCCTGCCCTTCCTACCTCTGAGTGACAGCTCAGGATCCCATGGCTGGCCAGTCCCTATGGGTAGTGAATTATGTCCCATGAGTTGTCATTTATATGCGTCTGGCCAACCTAGGGCCCAAACGCCCAACTCCTCTACCTGGCTCTTAAACCCCAGGGCCCTGTCCTCTGACCTAATCAGTCCAGGGCCAGAGATAACCCCGTCCTCAGAGCCTGCTGAAATCATTCCAACGGGCTCCTCCTGAACTGTTACTTCCCATGGAAAGAACAGTTGCCCACCCTTCTCTTCCTGCGCCTACATCCTGAGCAGCGCATACTTCCCATGTGCCCTACCCCTGCCGTGTCTCATCACGGTCCCTCCTCTCGGGATCTGTAAATATAACAAGCTGTTGTTAAAGACTATGTTTCTGGGAAGTTTTAGGTTTGTAGCAAAATCGAGGGAAAGGCACAGATGTTTTCGATATACCCTTTTCCTTGACACCTGCAGAGCCTGTCCTGTGGCAGTGCCTCCCTTGAACGATAACTTGTTGGCCCTATGTGGACATCATAATCACTTTACAACTGGGTTTGCTCTTGGTGTTGTACACGCTGTTGATTTGGACAATGACAAGTATCTACTGTTATAGCATCACACAGTCACTGCCTTGCTCTGTAAATCCTCTGTGCATGTACATCTTCCTGCTACCATGGATCTTTTTACTTTCTCCATAATTTTGCCTCAAACCATGTGTGTGTAGCGCCGGGAAGACGTGAACCTAGGGCCTTCCGCGTGCGAGGCCACTGCTGTGCTGCTGAGCTACAGTTCCGCCCCTCAAACTATCTTCTCAATGGCAATTGCCCCCACGACCTGTGGGCCTCATTATACCTGAACAGTAATCAGATCTGCATTTAAAAGTCTATCTTGTTCCTTATTGGCGATATCGGCTCATCCTTAGGTCTAAGAACTGCCGTAAGATCAGAATAAATCGGGCTGTGGGGCACAGGGGATGACTTCATGTCTAATCAGTGTCCCACACACATCTTGCCTTTGCCACTACTCAAACTCCCCCCAGATTCCCACGGGGACCCTGCCCACACTCTCTCTTCATTATGCAAAATGGGCCTCCAAAATAATACGGAAAGGTTCTTTCCGTATTAATGTAAAATTTAATATACTGCTATTGATTTTCATGGCACATTTCAAAATACCTAGAAAGGATTTTGAATGTTCTCCACAGAAAGAAGTAATATGTGGCTAAGTAAGGTGATCTATACACCAGTGACCCCAAGCTGATTTTTTGTTTTGTTTTGATTTTTTTTTTTGTCTTTTTGTGACAGGATCTCATTTATAGTTCAGGCTGGTCTCATACTTATGATCCACCTACTTCAGTCACCCAAATGCTGAGATTACAGGACTGTGGCACCATGCCAGGTATACCCTGAACTGATTATAGTATCCTGAGCTAATTACTACACATTGTATATGTGTATTGAAAAGTCACACTGTGTCCCATCGCTGTATAAAGCTGTTATGTGTCAACTGAAAATTAGAATATGTTAAAATAAAATCAAAATGCTTAATATGTTACTTCTTATAAGATATTTGCCTACGGCACGGAAAAACCCTGAAGTCAAACAGCACATTTTTAGTTGTTGAAATTGAAACATCAAAGAAGATGCTAAGGGCTTCTTAATATCCCTGAAATCACAACTCACCTATTCATAAATCAGCCCTTCTAGTGGAAATTATTTTAATTGTGTAAAATCTTATTTTATTTTGAATATTCAACCTGTGCTAGACACATTATTTTCAATTTATTATTTGTGAGATTTTAAATTACGGAATTTTTCAAGCAGTCACAAAAATTGAAAAGAATAAGCTCCAATGCACCCGCACCTCAACTCCAGTAGTCTCCACACAGTTCAATCATGCTGCTCGTGTCCCTTGTCACCCCACATCACCCCCAATCATTGTCTTAAAGGAAAGCTCAACAACCATATTTTTTTTGGAGCCTATTTAAGTGCTATCCTCCGCAGGGCCGTTTCTTCTCACAATATAATTTTCTCTCTCTCTTTTTTTTTTGATACAGTTTCTCAATGGAATTTGGACAGTTTGGCCTTCCAGGAACTGAAGTCAGAGTTAACTGAAGTTCCTGCTTTGAGAATCTTGGAGAATCCAACTGGCCATCCCAGGACTGAAGACGGAGACAGCGGTAGGAAGTTAGATTCCTCCCTTTTGAGCCTTCATGGTCTTTGTCTTGCACGTTTGTTTAGCTCTGTGTTCAGAGTTGGGATGGCTTAAACGGCCACCCACAGGGAGGTGGTAACTTGGCTGGGAGCAGGGGCAGGGGAGGGGCGAGGAAGAGAAGGCATCTCCATTTCTGTCAGGGTGGGTGTGCAGGAAGTCAGCCTTTCACTAGAAAAGCTCTATATCCTATCACCCACACCTGGAAGGCTAGGCTGGGCTACACCAGGGGAAGAGGAGAGATGTGTTTATTTACCCACTTGACTGTTACAGTGAGCCAATGGCAGCTGAAAAATCATAGTTTTCACAAGTTCCTTCATGTCTTTGCCTCAGGGCCAGGTGTAGACCACGCAGCCTCTCAGGACAGTCCCTTATTAACAGCATTTTTACTGAGCCATGACCATCTAGGAAGAGTCCAATTTCCCCCCTCCAGTGTCTCCTCAAGGAAACCTGCAGTTTTTATCTGCTGTGGTGCTGCGTGCACACCTGCAGTCCCAGCAGTGGGGGTGGGACATGCGGGCTGAGGCAAGTTCGAGCCCAGCACCGGCAACTAAGTGAGGCCCTGTTTTAAAACGAAAATAGGTCTGGGGATGAAGCTCAGTGTAAGGGCCTTGGGTTCAATCCCCAGTATTGAAGAAAAAAGAAAAAACAAAGCTCTAGTTTTCAGAAACATCAGCTGTCCATGTTATTGACAATTACTGCTAGCACTAATGGTCATGCATGGGATGAAGGTTATGAAATATTTAAAATATGATTCTCTGAGATATGAACAGGAAATAAGTCCACCTTCTATGATGAAATTGAAAGCACTGCTTAAAATACAGAGATTTGGTTGGATTCTGCCATATTCAAATTTTCAACCATCTCATCATATTTTAAAAATTATATTCAGGTTTTATTGTATTACAATGATGTGTAAACTGTGACCTATCGCTTAGGACTTTAAAATTTTTTTATATAAAGATTGTTCTTATAATTTTGTCTTTCTCTTTTAAATAAAAAAAATAAAATGTCTTGAAAGTATGTCAGATCGAGAGTAATCTAACTAATGCCCATGAGTCCCTGCGGGGGTTAAGTAGAATATTACAAATTCAGGGGAACCTCCAGCCTTCATCTTTATAACTAGTACTGAATTGAAATTCAATTCCTATCACAGGTTAATCACAGAACATTCTCTGTAGATTCAATACCAAGCACTTTACACGTTTCATTACATCTAAATTTACAATAGCCCTACTACCCACGACACTATTATTCCCTTTACAAATGAGGAAGCTGAGGCTCACAGACATAGATGCTACCTTATTGAAAGTCACTCAGTCAGTGGGTGACCAGATTTAAACCCAGACAGTCCGTGCCTAGGGTTATTTCTCTGCCTGTTCTGCTCCCACATTGTCACTAAATTTGGAAAGATTTTGGATACGTGTTGTTGTTTTGCTCATCAGGATGTGGACAACTGGTTTGGGTAGGAGAGCCTGTGACTCTGAAGGCTGCTGAAACAATCACTGGCAAGTATGGAGTGTGGATGAGAGACCCCAAACCCAAGTACCCCTACTCACAGGAGACCACATGGAGGATTAACACGGTTGGCGTAGACATCCGCCAGGTATTTGAATACAACCTCATCAGTGACTTTGTGCAGGGCTACCCTTCGAAGGTCCATGTGCTCCCCCGGCCTCTGGAAAGCACAGGTGCCGTGGTGTATGCGGGGAGCCTCTATTTCCAGGGTGCTGAGTCCCGAACCGTGATCAGGTATGAGCTGAATACAGAGGCAGTGAAGGCGGAGAAGGAAATCCCTGGAGCTGGCTACCACGGACAGTTCCCGTACTCTTGGGGCGGCTACACAGACATTGACTTGGCTGTGGATGAGTCTGGCCTCTGGGTCATCTACAGCACCGAGGAGGCCAAAGGTGCCATCGTTCTCTCCCAACTGAACCCAGAGAATCTGGAACTTGAACGAACCTGGGAGACTAACATCCGTAAGCAGTCAGCCGCCAACGCCTTTGTCATCTGTGGCACCTTGTACACCATCAGCAGCTACTCCTCAGCTGAGGCCACTGTCAACTTTGCTTACAACACAGGCACAGGGAGCAGCAAGAGCCTGACCATCCCGTTCAAGAACCACTACAAATACACCAGCATGATTGACTACAATCCCTCAGAGAGGAAGCTGTTTGCCTGGGACAACTTCAACATGGTCACCTATGACATCAGGCTCTCCAAGATATGAGAAATCTTCATGCGTCCCCAGCAAGGTGAAAAAAGATGACACCTACAACTCTGGAGGGGAACAGACTGGAGGGAGAGCAGCTGGCCAGGCCCACACAACTTCTGCTTTTCAGCCTTCATTAATCCAGGAGGTTGTGCATGGCCACTGTCCGGCTACACAAGGACAGCAATCTGTAGGTCTAGACAATTTCATGTTACAATAGATATTCTTTTCTTCTATCAGCTTTTAAAGGGCTGTTTATCTAAAATAGCTCAAGTTTTCTGGCAATTTGGGGCAAGAGATATAAGGCATAGTGATTTATTAATTATTGATCTTGCAATTTGCATGGCCCAGAGGCCTTGATCAAAAGCACGAAAAGCTCTTGTGGCCAGGATTGAACCTATGCATAAGATGTCTTTCCTGTAATTGTCTGCTCATGATTCAGATACAACTTAGTTGGGCATTATATAACCCTTTGCCCTGTGAAATAAAATTATCTTAACATTATCTTCCTTGAGTTTTGTGGGAATCTTTGCTTAAGAGAAGAGTACAGATTGCTAAATTAAAATAATCCCTTTGTGTTGGGAGATAAGATTTATGTGATTGCAAGATGTGTGTGTGAGAGAGAGAGACAGAGAGACTTATGCCTAATTTTAAGGTTTTGCCCAGGATGACACCAGGCAAACCACAGAATTCACACTTTCCCACATCCATTTCTTTGTGTCCTTGGCCCTTCCTGAAAAGTCTTTTCATTTTTCCCTTACTTCACCCTCATTTCCCTTGGGTTTCTATTTGTTGCCATGGGTATTAATCTTGTAAAAAAAAAAAACCCCACATACGCAAAAAACAACCTCAGATGAACAAACCTCATAGAATTATTTTATCCCATTTTTTTAAAGTGTGGTAAAACACAACAAATTTGTGCAACACTCACTACCATCTATCTCCAGAACTTTTTTCCATCTTATAAAACAAGTTCCATTCCCATTAAATAATAACTTCTCTTTCTCCCTCCAATCCCCGTAGCATTACTTCTTAATAGCTGAACTCAATTTCTTTGTTTATAGTAGCTCATCATAGATCACTCTGCCTTGCCCACTCAGCTTGGACTCCATGCCACTGGGAGGTTAGCAGCCAGTTCTGCACCTCTCCCATTGTCCCTAAGGTGGCGTCTTTGCTTGAGATAAACAAGAGTTGGGGGCCCTTTAAGACTCAGGGGAGGAAACTGGGCAGGGTTTCCTTAGACCTGGCTCTCACCATCAGCATGGACTCCAGCGTTAGCTACTGACATTTACGCCTCTGTAGCCAGTACCAAGGCTGGCACCCTACATACTCCGAGGTCCAGATTTTCCTTCTCTTTGCATTGGGGATTGAACCGAGGACCTTTCACACTGAGCAGTATCCTCAATCCTTTATTTTTTATTTTGAGACAGGGTCTAAGTTGCCCTGGAAAGACTTGAGCTTTTGATCCTCCTGCCTTATATGATGCTTTTTTTCTAGACGGTCCCCTTAGCCCCTAAATAGGGACATTTCAGCAATGGGCCTGCTCCGCAGGAATAGAGGTCCCCTTTGCTATTCAGCTGCTGCCCCCTGCTGGTCAGCGCCAGTTCTCCGTAGATCTGCCATCTACAAAAATAAAACTGCTCTAAACAAGCACCTATTTCCCCCGCTTTCAAATGCCCCACGCTACCGTTTGTGAGGTCCCGTTTGGAGCTCTTCAGAACCTAAGCTTTCTCGCTCTGAGGATTTTTGCTGCCCCCGACTTGAGTCAGACTACAGCTGTGGGACCATCTAATCTGTTATTTTCCTGCTTATTATTCTTGGGACCAGGGCTCAGCCTTTGAGAACCAGCTCTTAAAAGCACAGTTTGAGCTTTAAAGAACTCTCTCTCCCATGAGTTCTAAAGACTATACTTTGGAAAGCAAAGCTGAGAGTTTGACTTTCCTTTTCCACAGGCCATAAATCATCTTTTCAGTGATGCAATCCTTGAGTACATAGGGAGAGGACGAAATCTCAAAGTCTTTCTCTACTGCCATATCAGTGTACTTGGGTTACGAGTACAAATACCGAAGACGGGGTGGTTTAAGCAACAAACATTTATTTTCTTGCAGTTCTGTAGGCTGGAATCTAAGATGGCGTTGTCTTCTGAGGCTCCTCTCCTGGGCTTGCAAATGGGGTATTCTTCCTGTTTTCTCCACTCCCCTTTTTATCAGGGCAGCTATCATACTGGATTAAGGCTCACTTAAATGGCTTCATTTTAAAGGAAGCCCCTCTTTACAGGGCAAATCTCCAGAGGCAGTCATATTCCAAAGTATGAGGTGTAACATCCTGTAGCTGGACTGCTTGGGATCAGAGGCGTTTTGAAAATTTTTTTTTTCAGATTTTGGAATATTTACGTATATGTAGTTTGACAGTTTGGGGGGATGGAACTCAAATCTAAACAAGTGAATCTGTGTCACATGTACATCTTACGCACATAGCCTGAATGTAACTTTACGCAGTATTTTCAGTGCAACTCCACCTTGTCTGACCTGTCCTCTGAGGTCAGGTGTAGTTTTCTGCTTGTGGTATCACATCAGCACCCCCAAAATTTCAGATTTTGCAGCACTTTGGATTTTAGAGTTTTGGGCTTAGGGATGTCCAACATGTGTTAGGATCGGGACTTCAACATAAGCGGCGGAGGAAATGAGTTTGGCCCATAACAATTGGGTATGACCACTCTCACTCATGGGCAACAGATTCTTCAAGACTAGAAAACCTGTGAGTCAGAATGCACATACTAATTTGCCCTAGCAAGCACATGTAGCATCCAGATGTTTGAAAGAAAAGCAAGTGGAGACATCTTTGGGCAATCAGGTGAGCCAGCATAGCCCCTTTGCCCAGCGCTGCCCCTGGCTCCTTTTCCTACTTTCTACCAGCTGTGCTTCTGGCTTTGGGATGGAAGTGGGGGGTAAAGAAAGAAGAGAGGAAAGAAGGAAACTCTCTGCTTAGCTTCCAGGACATCTACTCCTCCTGCATCTTTGATTGATCCTTAGTCTCTTTTACTGGTGCTGCCTGTTAGTCCCAACCACGTGAGACTCCCTGAGTGTCTGATCCTAGCATAGTCATGACCCCTGAACTTTAGACTCATATTCACTTACTTACTTGACCTCTCCACAAGATGTCAGGCATATAACTATCAAAGACTGAACTTCTGAGTTGCTCTACTCCTGCCCCGCAGACACACCACATCTGATGGAACTCTATCCCTCCAATTACTCAGACCAAAAAATATTAGAATCAACCTTTATCCATCTCCTTCGTATCCTATATCCATTCTGTCTTTAAAAACGGATGCAGAATCTGGCCACAGCTAGCACCCCACTGCTACACATGACTATCTTGTTCCTAGAGTGCTACAACAGCATCTCAACTTCTTCCACTCCCTTTGCACAGCCTATTCTCTATAGGGCAGACAAAAAAATTCTGTTCAACTCCAAGCCGGAAGGGCTATGGATGTAGCTCAGTGGCACTGTGCCTGCCTGGCAAGCACAAGGTCCTGAGTTCTATCCCTGATACCCCAAAACAAAACAAAACAAAAACACAAGCCAGAATATGCCTTTTTCTGAAAACCCCTCATGGCTTCCCCTCTCATTCAAAGGCAGAGTCCTTACAAAGCTCCATAGTATCTGTGACTGCTGTGACTTCCTCCTCTGCTGATGTCCCAATCCACTCTGTTCCAGCCAAGCCCAACTTGCCTCTCTGAAGTCCCTAAAACACAGCAGGGACACCTGGCCTTCAGGCTTCGGCACCTGCTCATCCCTCTGCCTCAGGTGTCCCCACACCTAACTTCGTCACTGGCTTCAAACTTTCACCTTCCTTAAGAGATCTACCCTGGCCACTTTACTTAAAATTGCAACTAACCTGCTCCTTCTTGCAGCACTTCTCATCGGTCTTACTCTGTCTTGTTATTGTCCTTTTCCTTTCTACTCATCATATATTTTTGTTAGTCTCCCCCACTGGAAGGTAAACCCCACTGGGACAGGGATGGATTGCTCTGTACAATGATGCCTCCCCAGAAGAGTGCCCGCCTCACACAGTAGGTACTATACTGCAACTGCGAGCTGAATTTTTATCTTATTCAACTTTAATGAATTTCAACTTGAGGAGCCACCCCTGGCATGTGGCTGTCCCACTGGGCAGTGCAGGTCTGTTTCTTCATGCAACTGAGGATGGGGGGTATGTAGTCAAGCACACTACTGGCAATGACAGGTGCTCAGGGCATGGCCCCTGCCTCCCTCACGGTGCTGCACAAACCCACAGGAAAGGAACCACACCAGCGGCACCGCCACTGGCTGCGGAGGAAGAGGGCTGAGCACTTTTGTAAGGGCAGGTGTGGAGAGAGCACAGTAACATGACCCCATGAAGAAACATGACCTAAAAGATGGCAAGATAGATAGGTACGAATTGGTTTTTTGTTTTTTTGTTTTTTTTTTTTTTTTGGTACGGGGGATTGAACTCAGGACCTTGCACTTGCAAGGCAAGCAGTGGCACCACTGAGCTAAATCCTCAACCCAAGTAATATTTTTATGTACATCCCAATTATCGCATTTCTATGCCTCCAAATCACTCCAAGGAGCTTTGAAAGCTTTTAGAGTGGCTTTCAGGTCTGCTAAGAGGCTTAAACAAGGGACCCAGGAAATACACTGCTTCCCACTAAATCATTCTGTACTAACTGCTTTTGAGGGCAGAGTTTTCTGTAGAGAGTCAGAAAATTTCCTCCACCCCCTATAAGTAAGCTTTGAAAAAGTCAATTAAGCCTGAAACTCAGCCCCTCTGACCCCAGTACAAGGGATGGGGATACAGCTCAGCTAACTTAGAATGAAAGAGCCATAAAACAGTGGTGTCCCTGGCTGGGTTTTGAAAATTCAAACACATTAGGGTTCTCTGGACCTCAGATCTTTAGAGTTAAGTCACAGAAACCTGAGCTTTTTACAGATTTAGATTTAGGAATAAACAACAGTGCCTGATAACTTTTTAAATTCAAAGGTAACTGACCGCTGCAAGTGTTCTACAGTACACCATAAAGAAAAGATCAAATCCATCCACAGAGACTCAGTTTAAAAACTCCAAATCCCTCCAGGTGCATCAGGGCAGATGTACAACACCCAACTGTGATTCTAGGAGAAGAAAAAGCAGAAAGAAGAAAGATTTCCAAGACGGCTTTCAAAGCCACGCCCAAGAATATCACTGAAACTGCTTGCTGGAGTCTCACGTTAAGAGTCCACCTCCAAGTAATTTAAGTTGTGCCTACTTGGGAGACAGTGGACTCCTTGGCTGGTGAAGGCGGTGGAGCAGGAGGTTCGGCGAGGTAGGTCTTGTCGGGAGGAGGCTCTGTCTCCGTGTCCGAAGAGAAGACCATCTTCTTAGCATTATCATTTTTCTCGGGAATTATCTCTTCTCTAGGAGGAAAGGCATATTATGTGTTATTCAAATAAGGATAGGATTAGAAAAACAAAGATAAAAAGACAATGAAGGGCCGGGGATGCAGCTCAGTGATACCGCTCCTGATCATAAGCAAGCACAAGGTCCTGAGTTCAATCCTTGGTACTGAGAGAGAGAGAGAGAGAGAGAGAGAGAGAGAGAAAAAAAAAGACAAAGAAACACCCAAACGCCACACCTAAAAAGATCATAATATTTTCTTTTTCTTTTTCCCCTGGTACCAGGGATTGAACTCAGGACCTTGCAATTGCCAGGCAGACATGGTTCCATCCCCAGCAAGACCATAATATTTTAGAGGACATCCTCCCAGATTCCTGGAGCGGGGGAGAAAGAGTGACTAATTCCGAAACAGTTCTTCTCAGAGTGAGCTCGGAAGTCTCCACTGGTCCTCTGGAACCTACAGAGCTGGGGTCTCTGTTCCCCACCTCAGGATGAGAGCAGGAACCCCCATCTCTCCGTTGCTCTCCCACTCTTACCAGCCATCCCATGGCAGACTCAGGCTCCAGGCGTCACTGGATTCCAGCTGCAGCATTCTCAGGGCGGTTAGGCCTTAGGCTCACTTTGCATCGCCCTTCTGCCCAATTTACTCCCACTGCAACCTGCAGGGTTTTGCTCCCTGTCTACTGAAGAAGACGTGGCTTCCCTCCTGCTCAGGGCTGGGCAAACCCTTCCTTGAAAGGAAGGGGACTTGTGTGTCATGCTGTTACAGATTCCGATTTAACTGTTCCTTCAATACTTGCCGTGTGCCAGGGTCCAAAACTCAGCTATAAACTAATTGCATGCAGATTCTCAACCACACACACCTCACAAGAAGTCTGGGGTCTTACAGCTGAGGAAGCTGTGACAGAAAGTGATTTGCCCAGGGGAAGTGGCCAGGAGAGAGTAGAACTGGGGTCCAAACTCAGTTTTGCACCTGGCCTCAAGCTTCCTGCCACTCCCCGTAGGAGGCAACCGCTCACGCTGTTGAGGGGTGTGAGGTGACGGTGGTGTTGTGCCGAGAGGCCCCAGATTGCAAAGCTCCCTTCTCAGGTAGACAAAGCTCAGAGACCACAGCCTCCCAGGTACAACGCCCACCCTCATGGTTTAAATTGGGGTGTCAGTTGGCTGAGCCCCTGTATCAGTGAAGGTTTCTAGCATCCGTCTATAGATACACACATGTATAGTACAACAATCTACCATTGACTACACATTCTGTAATTTAATATAATAGACTTTGTGACATTTAGTCTATTATGTATTATATTACATATATGATATATAATATATATGTGTGTATATATCAAGAACATATACAGAACTTCTCTCAATTTGCTATATTTTACATTCCAACAAACCCTAAACTCAAGGGTCCTCAGGAACAATACTGGATGAAAGTCCGTATTTTGGTTTCTTTGACCAACACCTTTTCAGATTTAGTGAAAAGCATAAGCTTAGTGTTTCTGAAACATACTTGAACAGGAAGCATCAGCTCTGCCAGAATGTGTCTATTCTCACTTGCAATATCAGATTTTTTACGACCTCAGTTTCTTGACAGATGTTTTGGGCCACTTGTCTATTTTAAGGGTTACATCTGTCAAGACTAGGTAATATAACTTGTAAAGCCATTTAAACAACCCAAGGAAACTATAAACCTGCTGACCTTTGCTGGAAATGACTGAAGAAAGCCACCGGCTTCCACCAGCCTTGCCCCCGCCCCCACTTCCTATCAGGAAGGGTCAGAGGCCACACGTGACCTTCTGCCCCTAGTGGGGGACCTGGGCAAGTTCAATGGAGTCCAGTTTCAATACAAGTTGGGGTCTTACCGTTCTTCAGCAGCACCCCACTGGAGTGGGATTTTAGGCGTCACCACAGTGATTATCATAAGCACACCAGATGCAGCAATGATGTGGGCTGTCAACCAGGTGTGGTGGCCCTCTCTATAACCCCAGCTCTCTGGGAGACCAAGGCAGGAGATCACCATTTCAATTCAAATTCAAATTCAGCCCAGCCTCCTGTACCATATGTGCCAAGCCTACCATCAAGGGAAGTACTGAGGCAATTAAAGCCTTTTAAAGCGGAAATGGCCACCTACTTCGGTGAACTATCTATCTCCTCTGGGCCAAGCAAGCTGGTCTTTCTGAGGGAACACGCATTATCCGCTGTCCACTAGCCCAGGGCCAGGCATGCAGTGTAAAGGAGACACATGATATGTGGCTGCAGGGAAACTGTAGCCTCATAGGTAGTAAGGATGAGCTTTCAGGGAGCCCATGCTGTCCCCAAGCTTTTCATCCTAGAAGGCTACATGACTTCAACACAAAGCATTAATGTGATCCCCACACCTATTAAAAGCTACTGATGTAAACTTCTTCCCACTGCCCACACAACAGACAGACACAAATAGTGTCACCACACCTTGAACTTCTTTCCCACAGCAGCTAACACAGTAGCTTCCTCCTCCCTGAGAGGCATCTGGCAACAGCAGGTGAACATATTTATGTGACCCAGTGCCTCCCGCAGTTTAGGGTGCTTGGTGGGGCTCAGCCATTTTTCTCCATTCCAACACCGCCCCACCTACCCCACCCTTCCACAAGTAAACCTGAAGAGAGCTTTTGGGTACCTGGCGGCCATGGCGACCCTGCGCCTGATCACCTCGGAAGCCAGGTCTTGGTAGGGCAAGTTGATGCTGTTGTTCACAGTGCTGTTCTGCGCCATGGCCAGCACCCAGAGCTGAAGGAATCTTGATGCAGAGCACCTGGGAGGCCGAAACACAAGCGCCAGAAATGGGCTTCAGGTGACCGGGAAATGGTCCGGCTTGGTCCTCCCTGGCATTATTGGAAGAGGGGTTTCCCCTGCTATGTTCTCAGTGGATCTCCTCTACCTCTTGTCCCCCGCCCCAAGTTTGAGGTATTTCCCTCAAACACCTGCTATGGGAGCGGGTGGGGAAATGGCACGGCTCTTGCTGGCTGTTTAGGTAAAAGGCGACGTGGTTACTCCAGTCACGCCACCAGGGTATCGAGGGCAGTTGTCATTACTCCCAGGTAAGTGCTGAGGAAATGGAGGCCCAGAGAGGTGAACTGACTCGGCCCCATTCCCTGCTGCTTCCCCCGTAACGGCACCACTCCCGCAGAGCCCTCTCCTCACCAGGTTCTTTGGCAGAGCTTTCTTCCCAGAGCCCTTACCTTCTAAAGGAATGGAAGGACACGGACAAAGCTGAGGCTTGGAGTCAAGCTGCTTTCCCAGATACAGCAGAGACCCGGGAGGCTGACACTGCTGACAGAAATAGTGGCGGCTACCCACTTAGTGATGGCCACTGTCCTTTTTATACTGTCTTGATAATCACAGTAACTCCACTTGTATTATGATCCTCATTGGGCAAATGGGGAAACTGAGTAGCAGAGGAATTAGGTGGCTTCTCTAAGAGGCACAGAGCTAGAATTTGAACCCGAGTCTCTCTGGCTTCAAAGACTCCCCTTTCTCTGCCACAGAGCCTAGCAACTGTCAGGTGTGTTCCAGTAGGGAACAAGCCTCCACTCCTATACACTGGGCCACACGCACACAATGGCAGTGGCTTTGTCATTGCTGGAGCACAAACTGCAATGGCTTGAGCTCGCCAGCCTGCGCTTCTGGCTGGGAAGGTTCATTCGTAAGCAAACTTACCTTTCAGACCTGCTCAGCTTAGTGTTTAGCCGCTTCCATGCCTCAACTCATGGCTTGGACTAAGAATTGCACTCTGTTCCCACACCTGAGCTACTGCCCTGCCCCAGAGGAGGAAACAGCCACCAAAATGACCACCGTCACCAGTGTCCTCTCTTTGTCTTTTATCCTCCTGGAGTCAGTCTCCCTTGGGAGCTTGAGTTACTGCGATTGTTTTGTGCCCTCCAAAGGTAGCAGCTGACACTAATTACTCTTGCCATGTGCCTTGACGGTCCCCACAGATGGTCCATGGAGAGCAGGACAAGGGGTACCTTTTGTCACTTGGGCAAAAGGACCACTGTAGCTTGGGTGCTGGTACATGTGACACCTTGATGTACATCTGTTGACTACATTTTAAACAATGAATTCGTGAACATCCATCCCTCCTACAGCTGTTACAGCTATGGAGGAGCTTGCCCCTTCCTGGTAATTGACAGAGCTCTGCTGAGATGGCAGGTGCTTCCACTTTGAAATCAAAGGCGTTGACTGTGCAGCTTCCACAGCTGAGCTGCGTGATCTTGGGCAAAGTAATTTAACCTGGGCCTTAGTTTTCTCGTATAAAAAAGGAGCATACGATCTTTCTTCTGGGGTGGTTTTGAGGACTGCGAAAACATTTGCAAAAGTCCTTAATTCTACCTCCCCCCTTTTAAATCCTTAAATGCAGGTTTAAATATGGTTTTACTCCAGGAATGGATATAAATGTATATGAAAGTATGTACAGATAGATATACTTCCCCGCCTATGCTGTCATGAATCCAGACATGGTCATCCCAAACCCAGTTCTCTATGCCGTGAAAGAAGGAGCCCTACTTCTTCCCTCTTCATAGATCAGGGTCGGGCAGGGTGAGTTTCTCCCAGGATCCCAGTAATAACTTAAACTGGATCAGTCTTCAACAGCATTGTGTTCCTGTCTGTTGCCTATAGCCACATGATTCGCAAAGTCTGAGTTGTGAAGGATTTTCAAAGCACAAATTTTTGCACTGTGCCTGAGTATGGCAGAAGCAATTGTATGCAAACTTCAGAAGGGATCCGCCAATTATACCATTGCTTTTTTTTAACGGCCTGTTTGGGGGCTGGAAATGTAGGTCAGTGGTAAAGCATTTTCGTAGAAGGTGCAAGGCCCTGGATTCAATTCCCAGAACTGTGCCAAAAAAAAAAAAAAAAAAAAAAAAAAGAAAAAAAAGTCTTATTTTGTGTGTTTGTTGCTAGTTTAATGCAAAGGCTGTGGAGAACAAAGTCCTAGCTTTAGATATGAACCTTTGGGATCTTGTAGCTCAGCTCTCTATAAAGTGAGTCACAATACAACCTGGGAAAAACCACTGCCACCTATACTTCCACCTTTTAGGCTGTCATACTTATTAACATGTTCCTAAATCCTGGCACCCAAACGTGAACTTTGCTTTTCGTGAACAGAGAGGCCCTGTTCATAAAGAAGTTCAACAGAGTGGTTCTCTTGAGAAAAAGAGGAAAAAAAGAAAGTTGAAGACCACTCGTCCTTTCCTGTTGTTTTTATTGGTATGTTTGTAGTACGTAATGATCACACTCCTCCCTAGTAGTTGGCGTATGTGTTTTTAACCGTGTTCCTGAAGTGCTGGCATCTGCCCAGATTCGGCTCTACATTGTTCCCCGTCCTTGTTAACACCTGCGCGTCCCTGGTGCCCCTCAGATCTTCTCTCCACATGGATGAAAGCGTGGCGTCCCTCCACTACAAAGAGAGATGATGCGTTCACATGTTCAGCAGCTACTGTGTTTGTCTTAGGGCCCAGGAAACACTGTAGAAGAGCTGCGGCCTGCTCTTGGGATCCACACATGGGGCCAAGCAAGGTGGCACACAACTGTAATCCCAGCACTCTGGGGACTAAGGCTGGAGGATCACAGGTTTGAGCCTAACCTGGACAACTTAGCAAAACTATCTCAAAATAAGAAAAACTAAAGGGCTGGGTAGGGTTGTAGCTCAGCATGAAGGCCCTGCCTGCCACCCCAGATCCCACCTCCCCCTCACCCACAGTTTTCCCTGTGGACTGTGGTTAACACAAATTTAGAAACCTTGGAAATAAAGATGTGGAAAAACTTCAGGAGTAGGAACAAGGTGGTCAGTTATTAGTGGCCAAGTTCTATCCTCAGCAGCCCAAATTACTAAGACCATACAAGGTAACATTACTTTCCCTCGTAACAATTCGTGGGTCTGTCTCCTTGACTCAACTGTGAACTTCTTATGGGGTGGAATCCTGGTTTTTACTTGAAATATTTAGGACCTAGCAAAGTACCGCATAAATGTTTCGGAACCAACAGGAGAAGCAAGTACTTTCTCCTGTGGAGATGTGATCACCCACTTGGGAGGTCTACTGAGGAGCCATTCTGTGCTTTTCGTTTGCATGTCAATGTACCTGTGGGAGGGAGGCAAAAAAAAAAACGATGGGGTAATGTTTATTAGTGAGTCTTGGTTTTTCCGTGAGGTTTTAAGCTGAAAGTAAAATTCTTGCGACTGAGCCTTTTTAGCGGGACTCTTCATAACATCAATTTATATTTTTATATTCCTGGTTTACAGAGATCCAAGGCCAAAGTAGTCTCCAGTGGAGAGCACTCTTAGCCCCCTGCAGTGTGGTTTTACTCCCAGGTACAACATGCTTTCTAGTTTGAGAAGGTGCTTATCTGCGGAACCAGTCAAACGGCACTGTCCAAAGCCCCGGGGTACTAGACACAGGTGGTCTAAAATTAATTGAAACTGGACATTTTGCCTCCAGAATTCATCTCTTTTTCTCTCTACATTATCCTTGAACCTGAGACATACAAGTATCACAGGATTTGCTTAATGGAATGCCTCACTTTATTCTCCACTAATTATAAATGTACTTGGGGACTTGTTTTCAGTGCAAATGAGGAAACTGTTGACTTCTGCTCTCTGAGCTCATAGATCAGTGACAAATTTACATATAATTTTACTACTTTATTGGCATGTGTGTCTAGACACGGTGATGTCCACCTGCAATCCTAGTACTGTGGGAGGCTGTAAGGCAGGAGAAGGGTTGAAAGTTCAAGTCCAGCCTAGGCAATTTAGTGAGATGCTTTCTAAGGAAAAAAAAAAAAAAAAAAAAAGTGCTGGGAATGTAACTCAGTGCAAAGGGCTGAGTTCAGTTCCTAGTGTTGTAGGGAGCCACCGTCTAGCTCTGTTTCTCCCCCTGGACTATTTTTTATGAGATGTGACAATATATGGTGAATATTTAAAATATTTATCCAGCTGTAAGGGCACATGTCTGTCATCCCAGCACTTCGGAGGCTGAGGCAGGTGGATTGCCAAGTTTGAGGCCAGCCTGGACTACACAGTGAGACCCTCTCTCAAAAAAAAGCCAAAAATAAAATGAATTTATTACGATAAAGACACATTACCATCAATCTCCCTTAAAGTGTATCACTTTGTTTTGAACACACTGATCTCATCATTCCTGCCCCTTTCTGGAGCAGTTCTGGAGGTGCTTTCGTGTGTTTACGAGGTGTGTGAATGCCGCTCCCGAGTGTCGTCCAGCAAAAAGGCAGGCTTGTGGAAAAGAGGACAGCCTGTCCTCTTCTGCCTTATTCACTGGACCTGCCACTAGTGACTTCTAGTTATTCCCCAAATCAAAATGACCACGAAATAGAAACGTTTTGAATTGATTCAGACATAGAGGAAGCTACTGCAGCACAACTATAGACACTCAAGAAAGAGAACTTCCAGAACTGCTCCAGAAAGTGGCAAAAACAATGTGGTAAGTGTGTTTGATGTGGAGGGAAGCATTTTTTTTTTTTTTTAAGAATGCAGTTTCCATATATTCTACCCAGAGTTAACTGTGAAGCTGTGAAGGTACCTTCTTCCCCCGAATATAAGTCCTCACAGGTCATTACCATGGAGGTGGCCAGTGTCACGCAGATTACACCTCACTATTCTCTTGCACAGTGGCTCTGTAAGGGGAGGTAAAGGCAAGGATAGGCTGATAAGGGCTGGAATTTTCAATTTCTAGTTTTCCAGGCCGGTCTTATTTTCAGGGAGACAGAGTTCTGAATGACATCTCTTCTAAATTTAACACTTAAACTACACTTGGACTTGCCAGGTGTCCCAGGTGCATGCAGGCACTGTCGGTCACCACCACCCCGCCCTTCAGCTCTCTGCTGGGGATGCCAGTCATCAGTCTCATGGCTGCTCCCAGGCAGCTTGGGTATACATATGCTCGTCTTCTGATTCTGTTGACACAGTCTTCATACAGACAATGGAATCTGTGCCACAGCCCTCCAGGGAACAGAGCTTTGGATCCCCTTAAGGAGGTACTGTGCATAGAATCCATAATCAAAGCTGGGCAGAGGTGCTGCTTGGGAAGTCTCCACACACGGTGGGGGTACAGTGGTATACACGATTGATGAGTCAATTTTCCTCAGAGACACCACTTTCTTGGTCACTCATCTTCACAAATTCTCATTTTCCAGCGCGACTTGGACTTCAGTAGGGGGTAAACACCTTTGTCATGGTGTTCTGTAGTTGTTCTCACCACATTCTTGAAAAGTTCAAACACCACACAATAGAGATGGAACACAAAACCACTTGTATTGGCTGTCCTGGTGATTTTGCATTTAATTCTTAAAGTTCTAGTTCAGGAAAATTAATGCAAATTACACAGATGGCTAGCAATTTCACAGCCATCTTCAGTAATTCTAACTACATTGCAGTTTGGATTTATACTGCCAGTTTATTTTTTTGGTACCGGGTCCAGAAACTGCTTTGTGGAGAGCAGTGATGGCAAGAAGCAGGCATTGTTCACTTGGCTCAGAACGCCACATAGGACGAGGTGGGAGCTGGAATTTGAGGCGTGGCTGAGGCTGGTACAGGGATGGGCTTGGTGCAACTCACTTCTCCAAGAGACTTGGCAACACTGGGGGACGGAGCACTGCCAGGGCCACTGAGGGGAAGCATTTTTATGATTAATGGGAAATGTATTTTTTGATCACACCTAGTATATTCCCTGCACCTCTGACCCTTTACATAATTATACCAGAACCTTGTCTGTTG